CCATGTGTTTGTATTTTTTACAGATCTTTCCCTGTAATTGATATCTAGTCTTATAGCGTTGTGGTCGGAAAAGATACTTGATACAATTTCAATTTTCTTAAATTTACCAGGGCTTGATTTGTGACCCAAGATATGATCTATCCTGGAGAATGTTCCATGAGCACTTGAGAAAAATGTGTATTCTGTTGTTTTTGGATGGAATGTCCTAAAAATATCAATTAAGTCCACTTTGTTTAATGTATCATTTAAAGCTTGTGTTTCCTTATTTATTTTCATTTTGGATGATCTGTCCATTGGTGAAAGTGGGGTGTTAAAGTCCCCTACTATGAATGTGTTACTGTTGATTTCCCCTTTTATGGCTGTTAGTATTTGCCTAATGTATTGAGGTGCTCCTATGTTGGGTGCATAAATATTTACAATTGTTATATCTTCTTCTTGGATTGATCCCTTGATCATTATGTAGTGTTCTTCTTTGTCTCTTCTAATAGTCTTTATTTTAAAGTCTACTTTGTCTGATATGAGAGTTGCTACTGCAGATTTCTTTTGATTTCCATTTGCATGGAATATCTTTTTTCATCCCCTCACTTTCAGTCTGTATGTGTCTCTAGGTCTGAAGTGGGTCTCTTGTAGACAGCAAATATATGGATCTTGTTTTTGTATCCATTCAGCCAATCTGTGTCTTTTGGTGGGAGCATTTAGTCCATTTACTTTTAAGGTAATTATCGATATGTATGTTCCTATTCCCATTTTCTTAATTGTTCTGGGTTCGTTATTGTAGGTCTTTTCCTTCTCTTGTGTTTCTTGCCTAGAGAAGTTCCTTTAGCAGTTGTTGTAAAGCTGGTTTGGTCGTGCTGAACTCTCTCAGCTTTTGCTTGTCTGTAAAGGTTTTAATTTCTCCATCAAATCTGAATGAGATCCTTGCTGGGTACAGTAATCTTGGTTGCAGGTTTTTCTCCTTCATCACTTTAAATATGTCCTGCCAGTCCCTTCCGGCTTGCAGAGTTTCTGCTGAAAGATCAGCTGTTAACCTTATGGGGATTCCCTTGTGTGTTATTTGTTGTTTTTCCCTTGCTGCTTTTAATATGTTTTCTTTGTATTTAATTTTTGACAGTTTGATTAATATGTGTCTTGGCGTATTTCTCCTTGGATTTATCCTGGATGGGAGTCTCTGCACCTCCTTGACTTGATTGACTCTTTCCTTTCCCATATTAGGGAAGTTTTCAACTATAATCTCTTCAAATATTTTCTTAGTCCCTTTCTTTTTCTCTTCTTCTTCTTGAACCCCTATAATTCGAATGTTGTTGCATTTAATGTTGTCCCAGAGGTCTCTGAGACTGTCCTCAGTTCTTTTCATTCTTTTATCTTTATTCTGCTCTGCAGTAGTTATTTCCACTATTTTATCTTCTAGGTCACTTATCTGTTCTTCTGCCTCAGTTATTCTGCTATTGATCCCATCTAGAGTATTTTTCATTTCGTTTATTGTGTTGTTCATCGTTGCTTGTTTCATCTTTAGTTCTTCTAGGTCCTTTTTAAATGTTTCTTGCATTTTGTCTATTCTATTTCCAAGATTTTGGATCATCTTTACTATCATTATTCTGAATTCTTTTTCAGGTAGACTGCCTATTTCCGCTTCATTTGTTAGGTCTGGTGGGTTTTTATCTTGCTCCTTCATCTGCTGTGTGTTTTTCTTTCTTCTCATTTTGCTTATCTTACTGTGTTTGGGGTCTCCTCTTTGCAGGCTGTAGGTTCGTAGTTCCCGTTGTTTTTGGTGTCTGTTCCCAGTGGTTAAGGTTGGTTCAGTGGGTTGTGTAGGCTTCCTGGTGGAGGGGACTAGTGCCTGTGTTCTGGTGGATGAGGCTGGATCTTGTCTTTCTGGTGGGCAGGTCCATGTCTGGTGGTGTGTTTTGGGGTGTCTGTGGACTTATTATGATTTTAGACAGCCTCTCTGCTAATGGGTGGGGTTGTGTTCCTGTCTTGCTAGTTGTTTGGCATAGGATGTCCAGCACTGTAGCTTGCTGGTCGTTGAGTGAAGCTGGGTACTGGTGTTGAGATGGAGATCTCTGGGAGATTTTCGCCATTTGATATTATGTGGAGCTGGGAGGTCTCTTGTGGACCAGTGTCCTGAAGTTGGCTCTCCCACCTCAGAGGCACAGCACTGACTCCTGGCTGCAGCACCAAGAGCCTTTCATCCACACGGCTCAGAATAAAAGGGAGAAAAAGTAGAAAGAAAGAATTAGTAGAAGTAGAAAGAAGGAAAGAAAGAAAGAAAGAAAGGAGGGAGGGAGGGAGGGAGGAAGGAAGGAAGGAAGGAGGAAAGGAAGGAAAAAAAGAAAGAAAGATGATAAAGTAAAATGAAATAAAGTAAGATAAAACATAATAGTTATTAAAATAAAAAAATAATTATTAAGAGAAAAAAAGAAAAAAATTAAAAATAAGAAAAGATGGACAGATAGAACCCTAGGACAAATGGTTGAAGCAAATCTATACAGACAAAATCTCACACAGAAGCATACACATACACACTCACAAAAAGGGGAAAACGGGAAAAAAGCATAAATCTTGCTCTCAAAGTCCACCTCCTTAATTTGGGATGATTCGTTGTCTATTCAGGTATTCCAGAGATGCAGGGTACATCAAGTTGATTGTGGAGCTTTAATCCGCTGCTTCTGAGGCTGCTGGGAGAGATTTCCCTTTCTCTTCTTTGTTCTCAGAGCTCACAGGGGCTCAGCTTTGGATTTGGCCCCGCCTCTGCGTGTAGGTCTCTGGAGGGCGTCTGTTTTTTGCTCAGACAGGACGGGGTTAAAGGAGCCGCTGATTCGCGGGCTCTGGCGCACTCAGGCCAGGGTGAGGGAGGGGCTCGGAGTGCGGGGCGGGCCTGCGGCGGCAGAGGCCGGCGTGATGTTGCACCAGCCTGAGGCGCGCCGTGCGTTCTCCCGGGGGAGTTGTCCCTGGATCCCGGGACCCTGGCAGTGGCGGGCTGCACAGGCTCTCCGGAAGGGGGGTGTGGATAGTGACCTGTGCTCACACACAGGCTTTTTGGTGGCAGCAGCAGCAGCCTTAGTGTCTCATGCCCGTCTCTGGGGTCCGCGCTTTTAGCCGCGGCTCGCGCCCGTCTCTGGAACTCCTTTAAGCAGCGCTCTTAATCCCCTCTCCTCGAGCACCAGGAAACAAAGAGGGAAGAAAAAGTCTCTTGCCTCTTCGGCAGGTCCAGACTTTTACCCGGACTGCCTCCCGTCTAGCCGTGGCGCACTGACCCCCTGCAGGCTGTGTTCACGCCGCCAACCCCAGTCCTCTCCTGGCGCTCAGACCGAAGACCGAGCCTTAGCTCCCAGGCCCGCCCGCCCCGGCGGGTGAGCAGACAAACCTCTCGGCCTGGTGAGTGCCGGTCGGCCCTGATCCTCTGTGCGGGAATCTCTCCGCTTTGCCCGCCGCACCCCTGTTGCTGTGCTCTCCTACGCGGACCTGAAGCTTCCCCCCTCCGCCACCCGCAGTCTCCACCCGCGAAGGGGCTTCCTATTGTGTGGAAACATTTCCTCCTTCACAGCTCCCTCCCACTGGTGCAGGTCCCGTCCCTATCATTTTGTCTCTGTTTATTCTTTTTTCTTTTGCCCTACCCAGGTACGTGGGGGGTTTCTTGCCTTTTGGGAGGTCTGAGGTCTTCTGCCAGTGTCCAGTGGGTGTTCTGTAGGAGTTGTTCCGCGTGTAGATGTATTTCTGATGTATCTGTAGGGAGGAAGGTGATCTCCGCGTCTTACTCTTCAGCCATCTTCCCCCCACCCCTATCTTGCCCCTCCCTTTTTCCCTCTCCCACTGGTAACCACTAATTTGTCAGAGATCATCAGTATTAATACTTTATTTTATTTCCTTTTAGATTGTTTCTAACCTCTTTCCTACCACACATGTATATACATATGCAAGTCCAGGTAGTATTCCTTCCTTCCCTCCCTCCGTTTCTCCCTTTCTTCCTTCCTTCCTTCTTTCTTTCTGAATTATTGTAACAAATTTGAATAACATTATTCATGATATTTTATAACATTTTTTCCACTAACAATTGTTTTTTTGGACATCATTCCATGGTAAAAATATATCCTCACATTTGTAATGACTACATTGTATTCACTGTGCAGTATAACGTGTCTTTTTTAGCCAATTCTCTGCTGATGGATACTTACTTTCACTATATTTTTTTGGTATTAGATGCAATGTTGTGTGAGTATGTAACGTTGCTATTATACACAATGTTTTGCTATTAGACATAAAATTATGTACTTTTCTACTATTAGACACAGTGTTGTAATGTACAACCTTCTATATTTATGTCTTTGCATTTGTCTGAATTATTTCCTTAGGATACATTTTTATTTATTTATTATTAAAATTTTTTACTGAAGTATAGTTGATGTACAATGTTACATAAGTTACAGGTGTACAATGTAATGATTCACAATTTTTAAAGATTATATTCCATTTGCAGTTGGCTATATTCCCCGTGTATCCTTGAAGATACATTTTTAGAATTGCAATCTTGCGGTTAAAAATATGCTCAGTTCTAAGTGCTTTCGTGCCCTATTACTACCCAAGAAGTACACAAGAAGGTGCAATATCATTGCTTTTAACTCGTAAATAAGCTTGCAGGCTAGTAGGTTTTCAAGCAAAAATGCTATGAAAACTTGAAGAGAAATTGTCTGATAATGATTTCATACTGCTGTTCCCCTGTTCAGCTTCCTGTCCCTGGGAATAAAGACGGGGAAAATGGAAATACTTGCAGCTTCCTTTTCTCTGTCCAGAGGGTCTCTGCTTCTTTCCCCTGGTAAACGTCCACAGAGGATTGTAGAGTCTGTGTTATTGAACTGCATCCATCAGTGCCCCTGCTTAGTTAATGTGTGGTGGGTTTGTCAGTTTCAGGAGCATCGTTTGCTCATCATACACTGTTTTGCCATAGCTAGGACACAGGTGACTTTTTTTTTTTTCTGAGAAGATTGTTTCTTCCTTTGTTTTAGGCTGAAGAAATGTCAGCCGTTGGGAGTTTTGAAGGATTGCAGCCTGTGTCTCCGAAGCAAGAGGGAGATGACAAAACCTCTGAGACTGATCAGCTGTCCACGGAGGAGGGTGACCCAGGTACTGTCTCAGGGCCAAGGCAGACTTCAAGGCCTCCAAGTGTGACCGAATCAGCACTCTACCCCAGTCCCTATCACCAGCCTTATAGCTCACGGAAGTACTTCGTTACACGGGTAAAATAATAAAATCATGAATTTAAATACTACATAAGACTTCTCCTTAGAAATATCCTAATATCCTTCCATATACCACATGTTTTACCAACTGTTTTCATGTTCGTTATCTTGTGTAATAGTCACAATAGCTGTGAAGTAGTCATCCTTATCTCCATTTTATAGGTGGAAGATCTGAATTTCGGAGAAGTTAAGGGTCTATTTTTGACCACCAGATAGTATCAAGGAGAAGCAGGTCCTCCAGCCTCCATGAGTCTTTGGCTCCTGAGTCCTGTATTCATGCTAGACCTGACCTCAATAAATTAATGCTCTATGGAGAGAGAACCAGACTGGCTAGAATATAAGGCTGGAAGCCCAGAGGGAGTATTTGTTGTAAGTCTGGAAAAGACATGGGTGATGGAGTGGAAAGGGTTGCTGAGCATGGGCTAAACCTCAAGGGTCTACATGGGCATGCTGGTATAACACTACGGGGACAAACACTTTATTCCAATCCTGTAGCTGCAGTTTGGAGCTGAGCTTCTTCCCTGTGCATCAAAGCAGTGAGCTTGTAGGCTACCATCAACTGGGGGCAACATTACACATTGTGCACTGTGGCAGCAGAGAGATTCTTCAAGTGTACATGGAACATCTCTTTGTTGAAAAAAAACTTTTTTCAACTCGACTGCTAAATAAGTGGTGGCCAAGAGTTTGAGATTATTTATAATGCTTTAACTAACAAACCCTGATTTGTTAGCCTTTAAAATATATCTTTGGTTAAGATAAAGTTGTAGCTAAAGAGACTCAATGTGTGTGTGTGTGTGTGTGTGTGTGTGTTTGAAGATATATACCTATATTACCTATATTCAGTGACTCATATGTGCAGAGTGCTTTGGCATGTTCTATACTATGTGTGTGTTTGTGTGTTTTTGCATAGGGAACGCAAATGGTTTATTTTCCAAAGTATAAGAACTTTATTGAATATGCAAAGTTAAGCTTAAGATACAGCTGGGGAAGAAATCAAAGCATCCCTTAAAGTGTCCTTTGCTTTGATAGTCATGATGAGAGAAGAACAGGATTTGATGAGAGAAGAACAGTGATGAATGATATAGAGTAAGGGCTTTATCATTGGAAGCTGGTTCGATTAAGAGAGCTGCCTGAGGAGTCTATGCAAAGCCGTTGTCTTTGCATCTGATGATGGGTCTGAAGTTGCTATAGATCAACCCATTGGCTGTTGTGAAGTAGGAGTAGGAAATAGGGAAAAACCTGAACCTGGATGGACAAACTGGAATTCCTTTTGACCGAGCGGCTCCCACCATGGAAAAATGGAACCTGTGTTTTGTCTCCCACCAAGTTTGAACTTGAAGATGTGAGTCACTTTCAGGAGAAGCCAGTGCTCTTCTCCACCGAGCGAGTTGCACACTTACCCAGTTCAGGGAAAGAGGATCTGAGGGAGGAGGTCTGACTGTAGCAAAAGGAGCTGTAGGTCCAGGGGCTTCCCCACCCCCTCCCATGCCATCAAGTAAACAGGAGGTTGGCAGCTGTGAACATGAGCTGCACTTGGGCCTGATTGTCCTGCCCTCATCTTCAATAAGGAATCATGACTGATGTTTCACTTCTGCCTTTCAAATCTGACACAAACGTCTCTTGTGGCCAACACTAGTTTAGAAGCAGACAGGAAAGGAAGTTCTAGAAAATGTAGTTCTAGCTTAGCTAAACTGACACAGTCTAAAGCTACAACAGAGCTTTTGTTTGTTTATTTATTTATGTACATGATGCTTTTATTTGTGTGGCTCTATGTAGCTTATAAAATACAGTCCCCTGGAGAAGCACTGTGAGGTAGGCAGGAAAGGGCTTATCACTCTTGTTTTAGTGGTAAACATATTGAAGTTTCAGAGGAGTGAAGTGACCTAAGTCACGTAATATTAGTGTAAGAGCTGTAGCTAGACTCTGTACCTTCTGTCTCTAAGTCCGGTGCTCTTTCTGCCATAATGTACAATTGAACGTATGGCCCCCTAGTAAAGATTTTCAGTGATTGACTACGATTCACGTAAAGAACATCTTCTCCAATAGCTGTATAGAAAGTAACTTTAAGTTCTCAAGAGCTTGGGAAAGGAAAACCTTCTTCTAATCTTATCAGTGAGTCTGAAGTAGACCTGAGGACTCTTTAGGAGGTATCTGTAAAGGCTACATTCCCAAGCAGTCAGCATTAACTTTCCTTCAGACCAAGAGACAAAATATGAAGAGGTTTTTTCTTTTTTAGCATGTGAGTATAATGAACGTGCTTTAATGCACATGAGGGTAATGAAAATACAATTGTTGGTTCGACTGAAACAATGATAAATATTATTTTGAATAAATAATGATCCAGTTTTACTACCTTGTAAACCACAAATCTGCTGATGTGGTGGTAGCTGAGGAAATGGGAGGAGACATTGTATGTATGTATATGTGTGTGTGTGGGTATATATATATATATATATATATATACATATATATAAATTTTCTGATCTTCAAAGTATGGATAAAATGTCAGTTTTATATGGGAGTTTAAATAAGCTAATTTTTAAAGAGTTCTTAGTATAGTGTAAGACACATCTATTAACATTTCATAAATAGCATCTCTTGCTATTCTAAATGCTTTCTTTCTCTTTTTTGCTGACTTGGCATTCACATTCCTGTTATTGGTAATAGGAATGATATGAAGATGCCCATGACCTCACCATGACCCCTAAGGTGAGATACAAATGTAGACCTATAGGGTCTGTAGCAGGAAAGAGGTTCAAATGAAGGAAGCTAACTGATTTTCTCAAGGGATAATTAGATCAGGCCAGGGCTCTGAATGACTCAGATCTATGAAACATACAACATAATGTTTTGCTTCTTAGAGCTGAAATGAGATCTAAGGGTGATATGGTCCAATGCTTCTCAGTCTTTATCGTGCAAACGGATCACCTGGAGAGCTTGTTAAAATACTGGTTTGATTCAGTGGGTCTGGGATGAGGCCTTAGATTCTGCATTTATATAAACTCTCTGGCAATGCTCATGCTTTCTGTCCATAGAACACACCTTGAACACCAAGTTGCTAGTCAATTCTCTAATTTTTAGAGACAGCTAAGGTCCAGAGAGGGGCAGTGGCTCACCCAAGGTCCTAACAGTTAGTGAGCACTGACTTGCCCAAGAGGTTAGTAAGTAGCAAAGCTAGGGTTAGAACAAATGTTCCCCAATTCCCATTCATAGTTCTGTGATCCCATGCAGTGATTTAAAATAAATCAATTTATTACAGTGTAAGAATTTTAAGGATATATCTTGCAAATTCAGAAAAGCAGTAAGTGACTGAGTGGAGAAATTCCTTGGCCATGCATTTTATTTTATTACAGGGTTCTAAAATAATTTCACGGGAGGTGGTTTATTGAAAAAAATTGGAAAATGTGGGCAAGCAAGATAACACACCATAATTCCACAGTTCAAAGTTAACCAAAATATATGAATGTGCTTTTATACATTTTGGTGAATAACCTTACTTTTTCTTACATGTACATTTTATTGTGCAAAAGAATAGAATTACATGCCAAATATTTATTATGTCAATAACTGTAGTTTCATAACATCATTTTTAACACTCTATAATATCCCGCTATGGAGATGTAGTACAATCTATGTAAGTTTTGCTGGATATTTAAGTTGGTTCTTGTTCATATCTGGAAAGGAAAGTTATTCCTTTGCTTGCTGAGGCAGGATGGCACTCAGTTACTCAGCTGCCAGGAGTGGACACCCAATGCTATAATAAGAAGGAGGATCAGTATATGAGTTTCAAGCTGGATATGCAAAGATGTGACTGATTTGAAAGTATAGATCAATTTAAGACAAACAAGGCATTTTTAGCATCATAATATCGTGCATTAGATCACATCTCTGAATACCTGGTCATAAAACAAGCCAGTCTGGTCCCTTCAACCTCTTGTGTTCTTTTATGGGTCACTCTGGGTTGTTGCTTTCTTCCCTCAGGCTTCCAGCCAATTATTTATTTACTGCAAATTTGTCCTTCTGATACAGCTTAGCAACATTCTTTCTCAGAGCCAGGAGGGGCCTCATAAAATATCCAACCCCACCCCTGAGACACATAAAGAAGATGTGACTTGTCCAAAGGCAACCAGCAACTTAGGGGTCATAGCAGGCCAGGAACCCAAGACTCCTGGAACTTTCTACCACCCATCCACTGCCTCTGGCCTTGGACAATGAATGAGGAATCACAGTAATGAAGGTCTGAACCACTTGCTATCAGTCTGCTTGGATAACCTTTTCCTCATATTTTTGTTCATCTGCTATTATTGCTTAGACATATCTAAAAATGGCCTACTGTCTTCTCTCAACAAAAGTACCCCTCAAGGCTAAAAACTTGAGGTATATTATCATAATCACTCCAGTCGTGGAGAGTGATATTCAAAAGCAACTTCTTATGAAAGGAACAATACTTGATCCGCATGGGGAAAGATATATTTAAACTCCCTGTAGGACTCTGTATTTGCAGATACCTTATCAGAAAGTTGAAAGCGATTAGAGATGGGGAATTATCTCTAAATTTATACTTGAGAATGTAAATTACATACAAACTAATGGGACTAAAACTCTTTGAACTTTTAATATTTAATTAATGGTTCCACATGGCCTTCTTATAGCCTGTGTTCTATTGTAAGCAACAAGATTTTAATAAGCAGGTTTGGGACTTCCCATTGTGTGGCAAGATGTTGCTGCCTTTATGACACTAATTTGACTTTCATGCTCTCTCCTTTTCCCTCTTCTCTTACTACACGCTTCCCCATGTCTTGCTCTTGTACTGGGAACAACTAAATGTATTAGTTGTATTGTTATTGTCTGTGTGAGCGTCTTTGTGATTTAGAAATTATATATCTCACTGGGCAAAATGTTTCTTGAATCCCCTCCTTACACTGAAATCCTTTGAAGATGGTAATAAAGTTGATGTTTCTATCTAAGGGCAGACACTTAACAATCATGAAATAAGAAGCATTTCCTTCATTTTCAGGGAGAGACAAATTTGTCTGGGCTTTACAAATCACATCCAATTCACAGCTGGTTTTCTTACCTTATGAATATACCACAAAGTAAACTCTTGGTATGACGACACCCTCAAGGGAGAGCTGATTGTGTCTAAGTCCCTAGGAGCATTCCTTTCTATCTTGTCCCATCCTCTCACTGTCTAGCTAAGGGGTCTAGTACATGGGAAAATATTAGTAGCAGACATGAATACTGTTTGTGTGGCTCCTGGCCCTGGGCTATTCTAGCTCGAGGAAACACAAGGAGACAAATACATATGTCTTTGAACTTTCCTCAGTACGTTTGTTTTGATTGAAAATATTTAGTGCTAGACTATTAGAGAAAATATTGACCATTAAGCTCTGTAGTGACTTGTAAGTAAGGATCCCCCTAATGATTTTTTCTTAAAATTTAGAATTAGAAATGTATTTGTACTCTCTTGCCAGGCTTTCTCTGGTCGAGTGATGTGTACATATCATTCCATTATACTTTCGTATTAGTTTTAGAGTGCAAGGAGTCTCAGAGCTAATTGTTCAGTAACCATTTGATCCCCCAATCCTGGTACAATGATTTCCCTTCTATTCAATGTTAACAAGAAGAATGATAATGAAGTCTTTTATTCTTCAGTGTTACCAAATGTTTTCACCATTTCCTAACAGCTGTTACAGTTAACGATATCTTATCCATCTAACAAATGCTGACAACGATGCATGGAATGACAAGGTGACTTAACATGGGTCTCACAGCCAGCAGAAAGGCTGAGATTTAAAACCTTGTCCCGGACACAAGTCAAAGTGTTCACACACTTTATTTCATTTTTGACACTAAAAGGCTGAAGTTAATTTATCATAGTAACCAATAATAACAAATGGAGGAGAGTAAAATACTCTATCAGGATACGATGCATAGCTGTTCCATAGAGGCATAGCTGTTCCATAGAGGCATAACTGATATTTCTACTGAATGTAAGAATTCAGGCAGTGAGGACACGGACAGAACTCCAGAGACTTCCGAACTGTTCTATAAGGAATACACTTCATTTTTAATGTTTTACTCTTGAAAATGTGTATAGCCAAACAACACCCATCCACTGGCTCCATCCACCAAGTTCCTTCCCTACCCTTAGGGAACCGCTGTTAACATTTTCTAGGTATCCTTCTAGAGTGACTTTAGGCCTGTACAAACACAAATACTTATTCTTACCCATTCTCCTCCTTTTCACAAAAAAAGTTGCCATATTTACCCTTTCTTCTGAACATTTTTTTCCTTTCACTTAATAACATATTTTGAAATCAAAGATTAGTACATATTTCTTCATTTTTTACATATTTATCATATTTCATTGCATGGATATGTCCCATAATATATCGAACAGCTCTACTATTGATAGATATTTGCATGGTTTCCAAGTTCTTGCTATCCACAAACTAGGCTGCAAAGGACACTTTATACATACGTCATTTTGTACATATTCAAGAGTATCTATAGTATAACTTCACAGAAATGGAATGTGTGGATCGAAGATTAGATCATTTTGATAGCTTTTGCCAATTGCCTTCCATAGGGAAGACAAGTAAGGTTTTGAAAAATTCTACATTCTTTTATTCATCTTTACATGTTTTTGGCAAAGTGTCTGGCATAAAAGCATCCAACAAAATGCTTATTTTAGGATTATTTCATTATTCTCCAATTCCACTTATAATGTTTTTCTTCTGAAAAGTATTAGTTTCACTACCAAGTTATATTAGCTTGAGGCAGAAATTATGTGAATACACGAAAAGAGGCAGGAAAAATAGCCATGATGAGTCATCAAAGAAAGCATCATTTTTTAGAGAACTTTGACCAGTGGGCCTAGTAGAGTCAGGCTGTATCACAGGGAGCCAAGGATGATGGATGATGGGAGAATTGTCACAGAATCAGGAAATTTCCCTGCAGGGTAGTCCAGTCCTACCAGCTGGATTACTGGAAACCAGTGATGTTGACACAATCTCCTGTGTCAGTGGGAGCTCAAGGCATATTTGACTAGTGTCCCAGAACTTACTGATTTTGTGACACACAGGTTTCAGCAAGCACGGGGTACCATACTAGCTTTCTGACAATTGAAAATTAGAATCTCTCAGTGTAAAAGGCTATGGTCATATTTTCTTAAAGATTTCCAGGAGGTTTTGATCATCAGCTTGGCTCAGAAAGCTTTGGTTCAGTCTACTCAGTTGTCTTATAGATAAAGAAATGGAAGCCGAGGAAAGTTAAATAATTATCTGTAGGTCACAGAATTTATTCATGACATATCTGGAATATGAACACAGGTCACTCAATTCTCTGTAGTTGTCCTATCCATTTCCTGGATGACTTGTGCTGTGTGGAATGAGTGGAAGGGAGGAGGACAGATAAGTACTTAAAGTTCTGTACCATTTACTACCACTTCATCTGAAGCAGCTCCATTCTTTTCCTGTATTTTACATGTGGACTCATATAAGATTTTTCTTAACCGATGGACTCTGTGGCTAACGTCTTTCAAAGCCTTTTATCATAGTTTGAGAAAACAAGCAAACCAAAATCCTACAATCACCTCACCTCTGGGAGAAGATATTTGAATGGGTCCTAGCCAGGCTAGTGTCCCCATTTCCTTTTGGGAGAGAAAGGTCTCAAGCTAGGAGGATTAGGAATGTTAATGTTTATGGAAGATTAGGTGTCTAGCATAAAGCCCTATTATATAGAGACTGTATGAGAACTTGTAACATACTAGTCCCAGGGTTGGGCATGAGACCGGCACTGTGTTGTAGGCCTAGAAGTGGAATGTCTGGGTTTCCTGTCTTGTCTCTGTCACTTCTTGGCTGAGTGAACTTGACAAATTATATACTTCCCTACACAGACCCCTGTTTTCACACTTATAAAATGGGATGGCTTATAATAGATAAGCCCTTGGCTGTAGTGGTTCTCAACTTTGGCTATACATCGGAGTTATCTGGGATGCTTTAAAAAATCCTGATGTACTGTTAGGTGAATCCCGTCCACTGAGTATCTGATATAATTGGCCTGGTGCACAGCCCTGGCATTAGGATTTTCAAAAGCTCTGCCGGTGATTCTGATGGGTCACCAAGGCTGAGAGTAACTGCCTAGAGAACAATGGTTCTTATAGTAGAGTCCCACACCAATAGCATCACCCAGGAACTTGTTAGAAATGTAAATTCTCAGGCCCACCCCAGAACTACTGAATCAGAAACTCTGGGGACAGTGCCCAGAAATCTGTTTTAAGACACATTTCAGGTGATCCTGATGTGTGCTGAAGTTTAAGAATCACTGAGCTAGAGGGTCTATGAATTTATTATTGAGACAGGGTTAATCCATTTTTAAGCTAGAGGCAGGCTCATAGTAGGAATTCCTTTTTGGATAAAGGTAAAAAAAGAGAGGTAAGGAGACAAAAAATTCATTTCCCAGAGCCAGATAAAACTATAGTCAGAATACTGGAAGAAGCTTTCCTCCTTTGTGTTTTATGACCATGTACTCTTTGAAGAGAGAAAGGTTAGATTTTAAAAATGTATGTATTGCTAAATGCATTGAACTTCCTGATACACATTTGTTTATTAGAAAAACTGGTGCTCTGAAAATGGCTATCTTCATTTCTATGAGAAAATGTGAGTAAGATTATAGAAATCTCACAGGACTTGGATCACTTTTGTCCCACCCAAGGAGAGCAACTTAGTAAATACCAGAGTTTAAGACTAAGCTCTCCAGCAGGCAGTGCCTACAACAAACAGGCAACTCCAAGAATTATCTTTCCTGGTTAACTTTTTGGAGGAATTGCTGGGATATAGTAATTAATCATAAGCTTGAAGAGGACTCAGTCTTCTCTAAACTAGGTACTCCCTTTCTCCTACTCAGCCAGGGGCCATTGAGACTGCCACAGAAGACTTGAAAGGCCACATTGCCGAGACTTCTGGAGAGAAAATTCAAGGCTTCTGGCTCTCGACAGAGTGAGTAGTTATGACTAAGTGAAGGGCAGTGGAAATCTAGCCTTTTCCTTGACAACACCATAATAGAATAGGAGATGGCCCAGTGGAAGAATTTCTCCTACTTACAGTGAGATAATTAATTGACATATCGAGCTGGAGAGTAAAGTTTCATGGTGCCCCATGGCTGATGGTATGACCAGGTTTGACTTCAACCACTGTTTTCCAGGCTAGTTGCTTCACTCAGCCATCACTGTGACTACCTTAGGTCAGGCCCTCATCAGGGCTCTCAGGGACCATTGTATTAGCCTCCTAACTGATCTTTCTGGTTCCAATCTCTGTTTCTTGTAAGCACTCTCCCTCCAACCACATCAGGCTACTAACCGTCCCACTCTGGGTACAGTGGAAAGGAAGGTTGGGAAAGAGGATGAATGAGGTCAACACATACATTGTGAATTTTATCATTAGGTAAGTTGGGTACAATAACATGAGCAACAAAACTAGGGAAATCATGCAGGATAAAGACAGGCCACCTTGGAGTGGGGGAGGGATAGATTGGGAGTTTGGGATTGACATGTACACACTGCTATATTTAAAATTGATAACCAACAAGGACCTACTGTATAGCACAGGAAGCTCTGCTCAATATTCTGTAATAACCTAAATGGGAAAAGAATTTGAAAAAGAATAGATACATGTACATGTATAACTGAATCCCTTTGCTCTACACCTGAAATTAACACAACATTGTTAATCAACTATACTCCAATATAAAATAAAAATTTAAAAAAAACAAAACAAGCAAATAAAAAGCCCTCAAAAGAAAGGCCACCTGTCCAGAGTTAAGATAAAAACCAAATCTAACGCTTAAGTGCTTGTCATTTTAATGACTGCTCCATTCACCCTCAAGGCTTATCTTAGCTACGGGGGTTTTCATTGCCAAAGACACAATGAAGATGGTTAACTTTCTGTCCTACCCTGACATTCTAGTGTCTGTGTGACCTTTTTTTCACCCACCAGGTGAATATTAGGAATGCCATAGTCCTTATAGTAATAAGTAAAATATGCACATAATAAGGGTAAGAGGCATCTCTTTTCTTCTGCAGAATCCATGATATTAAATGGAGAATGCAATTAGAACTCCATTTGAAATACTTAATTGGTTCAGTAAGTTTTCTTGGTAATACAATCACCAAAGGTTCCAGCCGAAAAGCTCAGTCATTTCTACACCTGAGTGAAGAATCATTTTATCTTTCCCTTCTGGGAGGGACATCTTCTTTGAATAAATTTTAGGAGGACAACACTGGGATGTTTAACCTTCCAGTCGAGCAGAACAAATCCCTCAATCAAAGGAATGCAGAAACCAAATAACCTGTGAATCCATCTTTCTGACCACCATAGCATATTTTTGTTTCAAATGGGTTCCAAAAATTGAATTAAAATGAATTTTTGAAAACCAAGCTGACAAGTTCTGAGCATTTGTGTCTTCATCTATGAACTACAGATAATGATATATACCTGACAAGTTGTTATGAAGACTAAACAAGGTAACATTGTAAAATTCTTAGCAAAGTCCCTAGCACATAGTGGATTTTCAATGGACATCAGTGTCCTTCCTCTGTTCTCAAGTACTAAATATTGGTAAAAGGCAATACTTTTTGACGTTGTTATTGGTAGCCTCTACCTTTATTTCTATCTTGTCCATCTCTACCTCTATCATCTCTGGGTTACCTTTAATGAAAAGTCTTTTAATTTATTCACTTTCACCAACTTACATTTTATTCTCTACTCTCCACCTCCCATCTGCAGAGTAAAATATGATTTGTGCAAATGAAAAGGCTGCCTTGGGCTTCCCTGGTGGCGCAGTGGTTGGGGGTCTGCCTGCCGATGCGGGGGGCACGGGTTCGTGCCCCGGTCCGGGAAGATCCCACATGCCGTGGAGCGGCTGGGCCCGTGAGCCATGGCCACTGAGCCTGCGCGTCCGGAGCCTGTGCTCCGCAACGCGAGAGGCTGCGGCGGTGGGGGGCCTGTGTACCGCAAAAAAAAAAGAAAGAAAAGGCTGCCTTGATTAAGCAAGATGTCTACATAAATCCTGAAGGTCACATCAGAAGTAAACACTTACCTATTTTGTTTCTACAATGTATCTCACTTTTTTTCTACAATATATCTCATTTCATTTCTACAATGTATCTCATTTATAAGAAAGAATGCACAAACATGGTCTTTCAAATCCAGTGGTGGCTACTTTTGAATTCTCAAATAATAGAATCAGTAATTTCTTTAAGGGTGCATATTTTGTTTGGTTTTATTTGTACAGAAGTTTGACTTGTTTTTTTGTTTGTTTGAATGTTTCTGCTCAGTGATTGCAGTGGCCTGTAGATACCAGTTTTTGAAAGATAAATCTGATTGTGTGATCTGCGTTGAGGTTTAGCACTATAATTGTGTGCTTGATTTAACATCAGCTACGATGATTGCTAACACCAGCAGTTTTCAGGTAAATATGAACAGCTTTGCCCCAAAGACGCAAGCCTTGTACTTACCTCTGAACCTAATAGGATGTTCAGAAAGTTGGTAAGAAATCTCTGGCAACTAGTTTTCTATTTCTCTTTTGTCTTGTGGTACCCATTTATATTAAGGACAATAATGAGGCATGTATCCTATGCATGTAGAATTTTAAGCAATCATATTTGCTTATTTGCTATCAGACTTTCTTCCTTTGCACATTGGAACCCATTTCTCCTTTTTAAATGGTAGTGATTTTGTGTTCTTTTTTGGTCATTCTTCTCTCTCAAAATTCTTTTACTTCTCCCACAACCCTCCATCAAAATCTACTTTCAAGAAAAGATCTGATTCCAGTCGTTTTTACCAGTGTAAGACATTGCCAGTTTCTTTTCTTTTCCTGTTACTCTTTGTAGCTGGTTCAGACTGCCTTCATGTAATGGAAGGAGGAGGTACCAGTTGTAAAGAAAATGTTCTGGACTAAATGAATGGGCTCCCATTCACTGTGACTGTGACTGTGACTGTTCAAGCAGAAGATAGGAAGCTGTTTGTCAAAGGAGGGGCATGCATAGGTTTTGAATGACCTTTCAGACTTAAGTCCTCTGTTTATTTGTAGTGCAGCAAAAAACAGCAACAGCAAAACCAATCAAACAAAAAACAAAACCTCCAAAATAACAACAGCAAGACTAAACAAAACAAATGTATAAACACACAGGCCCAGAAAGGTGAGAACCTGGGCTGCTCTTGTCCCCTTTCCTCCTTTTTCTAATGGAATAAGACCCATCCATTCCTGAGAGTTACAGGGGCTGTAACATAGACCTATTTCCCCAGCCTTACCAACCACACAAGACTCTTTTCAAGCATAACACTTTTTTTGTATATGGCAGAAAAGGCTGGGCTTCATGTACATCAACTTTCAGCTCCTTCTGGGGAGATGAGAAATCCCTGGCTACTCATCAGTGGTTGAAAGAATATCTGTAGCACATGTAAACGTATCTTCATGTCCATGAACTTGCTTTACCTTCCCTACATCCTTGTTAGTTGTATGATTCCCATTTTATAGATGAGAGGTGAAGACTAGGGAAAATGAAGTGGCCAGATGAAGATCCCGTAAGTGATAGAGCAAGAAAGATGGACCACCACACTCCTGTGTTAGCTGGGTTCTGATTCTTTCCCCAAGTATATACAGTGTAGATGAGGGGTAGCTAATAAGCCCAGCTCCATCTTTAGTCATGGTTGGTCAGACTCCTAGAAGTAGTTTGATATAGGAGGGCAAGGTGGGAGCTGTTGAGAGGAAACTTGAAAAGGACTTATGGGCCTTGTGTATCATGTTTAAGAACTTCGATTTTATCCCTTAGGTGATATGGAGGATCTGATGGGTGAGGCTCTGTATTTATATTTTATGAAGATCACTGAAAGTCCACAATCCCTTATCCAAAACCCTTGAATCAGCTGAGAATTTTTCATATTTTGGAAGTGTAAAACAATGCATATGTTGTTTATTTTATGCCCCAAGTGGAGGTCTGGGACAACCCACCCTAATCAAACATATTAATATCTTTTCAGGGAAACATGTGATATTAAAACTAGAATAAATCGTCATCTGGTTCAGATCTGGTTTTACCGCAAAGTGAGTTTGCACCACGGCTGCAATTTTCAGAGCTTTGTTGAATTTGAAATTGTGGATCAGGGTTTGTGGCCCGTACGTGTTTGAAATGTGGAGGATCAATGAATGGGTGGGAGGTTAGGTGACATATTAGATACTTATACAATATCCATGAAGGTCTGATCCAGTGGCATGCTGGAGCTTGTTCACACGTGCTCATAAGAGGTGAATGGTAGGATTTCAGGAATTTTGACAGTCAGTTGTTAATTCTTAAATTTAAATTAAATAGTTTTACAAGTTATTATTATATGTAAAATTAAATAAAATTAGTTTCACCCCCAAATAAATTTTTTTTGTATTTTATTTATTATTTTTAACATCTTTATTGGAGTATAAGTGCTTTACAATGGTGTGTTAGTTTCTGCTGTATAACAAAGTGAATCAGCTATATGTATACATATATCCCCATATCCCCTCCCTCTTGTGTCTCCCTCCCTCCCTCCCTATCCCACCCCCCTAGGTGGACACAAAGCACTGAGCTGATCTCCCTGTGCCATGCAGCTGCTTCCCACTGGCTATCTATTTTACATTTGGTAGTGTATATATGTCCATGCCACTCTCTCACTTCATCCCAGCTTACCCTTCCCCCTCCCTGTGTCCTCAAGTCCATTCTCTAAATCTGTATCTTTATTCCTGTCCTGCCACTAGGTTCTTCAGAACCTTTTTTTTTTCTTTTAGATTCCATATATATGTGTTAGCATATGGTATTTGTTTTTCTCCTTATGACTTACTTCACTCTGTATGACAGATTCTAGGTCCATCCACCTCACTACAAAATAACCCAATTTCGTTTCTTTTTATGGCTGAGTAATATTCCATTGTATATATGTGCCACATCTTCTTTATCCATTCATCTGTC